TGTCTTGTCCCGATTTACCCAAATCATCCTACCACATATGCAACTCCAAAGGGATCTTGTTCACGACTGTTTTTGGCAAATTCCGACTTATGCTCATTCTGCACATTTATTAGGGTGGTTAAGCAAAAATCCCGATTCAGTTGACTCAAAAACAAATTGACACTTTTCATTTAAAAATAAAATTCGGTTTTGCGAATACGGCCTTTCAGCACCTCGGAGTCGAAGATTTTAAGGCTGTGTTGGCTAACCGGTGAAAACCTTAAAAAAATGACCACAAGTGGTTGTTCTTGCAAAAACAACCTTCCGGCGCCCTTTTAGGGACATTCGGCTATTTCCGACAAGAATGGCATCACCCTAATTATTTTCAAACAAAAGTAAAATATTTGTTCTTTTGGGCTATTTTTGCAAAAAGGAAGTTGGACCCGATGGGAGTTGCCTACGTATCCCACATCCGGTGGGAATCAAACTAGCGTAGTTCGGGCAAATTTATCAAAATAGAACCAACTATTTTTCCTTTCTTAAACATAAAGATTTTCCCGTCTTTTCCTTTTCTTGAAAACTACGAAATTCTCTTCTTCTTCTTCTTTTTTTAAAAAAAAATCGGCAAAGTTTCGGTATGTTTGGGATATTGGTTTTCAAAACAGACACTTATCCCTCTCAACCATCTCATTAACCCTTCTAATTTTCCTTATAAGTCGGTCAACATGCAAATCCGAAGCAAATGAATGCACAAGTAGCAAGTAAGATGCATCATAATGGTCTTTACATTTCGGGTATACCTGTCCTAGACAGACCCAACCCCTGTGTTGAGTCTCCAAAGTCAAAACGCACATGATGCAAACAAACGTTCCTACTAGGGATCCGACATGAAGCTGAGTTATTCTAGGTTCATAACCTGGGTATATGTTCTAGACTGTGTGCCCGAGCGGACAACTCGAGCCGAGGAGGGGGCTACATACCGGGAACCAAAAGGCCATCCGGCTTAGTAACTTGTCCGGGCCTCTTTCTTATTTCAAGGTATGACACTAATAGAATAAGGAGTCTCGACCAGCGAGCACATCCCCGAAGATGAGAAGAGAAGGGTTTCGCAGCAGTTTATATACAGTTCAGATAATATCAGAGCGGTAAAAACAACATTTAGCACATTAGGCCCAAACATATAATAAAATCAGATAATAGATAAAACCAAATATAACAATTCATCTAAGCTCAAATTCTTGAACCCTGAACCAGAGATTCTGGGTTCGTTCCCCAGCAGAGTCGCCAGAGCTGTCACCCCTCTTTTTTTACATTACACCCCCGAGAAGGGGTATATAAGGGAGTTTTTTCCAACTTAAAGTGACAATCGAAATGAGATTATTTATTTAAAGATTCAGAGTCGCCACTTGAGATAATTTATGGTGTCCCAAGTCACCGGTTCAAATCCCGAATCGAGGAAAAGATTGACTCTATATTACAGTCCGCGAACCAGAAATCCGGGTAAGGAATTCTGTTAACCCGAGAGAAGGTGTTAGGCATTCCCGGATTCCGTGGTTCTAGCACGGTCGCTAAACTGTTATATTCGGCTTAATTATCTGATTTAAATAATTATGGACCTATGTGCAAATTTAACTTTTCAACCGCTTTTATTTAATTTTAAGGAAGATTGCAACGTCATTTAAAATATATCTTGAACCACTTCACATAAATGCACCCGTAGTCCGCAACATATTTTATATAACGATGTTGAGATTTGGATTTGGGTCACATAAATACGTACCCGAGTTTAGGAAGGTAAATTATTAAAATAATGCGCCTAAAGCAACTGCGCGCTTTCAAGTTTGCGAGGGCCATGGAAGTTCAACTAAATGGCACGCCTCGATTTCTAAAGATTTAAAATATTAATTAAGCGAGGGCCATGCATTTTAGGATTTTATTTGGCTTGGCGCGCCTCAAATTATTCCAAAGGGGCTTTACTCAACTAAAACAAACTACGGATGTTTATAAGTTATTTTCTTAAACTACCTCAAGATTTTTGAAATTGCAGGAATAACTAAGAAATAAATCGCTGTGAGGTCGTCACTAGGAAATGTAATGGCTTGTGGAAGGCTTCTCACGAGAGCCAAGATAAAAAGAGATGGATGATGAAATAGTGCCCAAATGCCTGAAAGAACGAGTCCAAAGCCAAAGTAGAGGGACCTCTTCCTTTGTTCCCTTTATTTATTTATGTCTAAAACATACACTTTTAGTAGCAAATGATATGGACAAAGGATAAAAGCAGAGATTCTGAAACTTGAAATAGGAAACAAACGTCTTCTGCCACTTAGCACATGCACAATAAATGGCAGATTCATTCATTTGACCGAATGAGAGAACATCGAGCAAATTAAAAGTATAAGAAGTAGGTTACTGATTTTAGCTCAAATTATGCACATAGTTAATACTTTATTCCATGCGGCCTTTCTTTAAAGTTAGCAGCTTGAATTCACATTCATGATGCATTCATGTTTTTATCCTCAAAGAACGAGTATATCAGGAACAAACAAATCAATTCAAAACTCTTGTGAGTTCACAAAGTGCTCAACTAACAGTATAGAAGAAAGTGAAAGCACACTCTGTTGTTCCCCTACAACCATACTTCTAAGAAGGAAATTGAAAATGCTACAAAGGAAAGGGAATTCACAGGGACCTATCCATGGCTTGACAAAATAGAGCAACCTGCGTACATGGTCATACAGGAGAGATTTCAATTAAACCAAAATAGGTTCAATAACGAGGTCTAACAGTGCAGAATCTGTACTCAAAACTGCGCAGATCTGCTGCCTAAATAGTGCAGGACATGGCAGCTTTTCAGCAGGCTAACAATCCGAACAAATGTCCCCAAAATACTGCACGTATCAGCTCGATCTACTACTGAAATTGACTTCTTCAGCAGCTCGAAAAAGCAAAATTACTATGGCAGTAACAAGGCAGATGAAACTTTGACAGAAGAGGGAAAATAGAGCAAGTATGAGCATACACAATCAGCGAAACGATTTGGCTTTAACACCCCTTTAGACCAATGCAAAGCTAAATCAAACATGACAAGAATGAACCAAACTTCATCATGGAACCCAAGTTAAATCAGTGTATTACTTGACAAGTGAGATCTAAACTAGATGCCGCTTCAAAACAAACGTGAATCACTAAACTTCTGTCGTTCGTAACATGTTCTGATAGATGCAACTAGATGCAACTGATTGAGCAACAAAGCAGCAGTAAAAAAAAGAACTAATTGGGTGACAATTTCTTGAACTCGTATTGAATTAGAGATGTGCAAGAAATTCTGTAATCGTCACTGAATCGACAAACATATGCAACACCTCATCTAACAACCACAGACTCGATCAAGCCTCCATCATTTCTACCAAAGTCAAGCAATTCTGTCCTCCATCACTATGTTAGATGAAGACCAGAACAAGCGTATAACATCCGATCGATACATAGTTAAGAAAACAAAACTGAAAATGAAGAATATAGCTCATATTCTGAAATCAATCACGAGCTAATCATACCATGGCAAGAACAAGTTAAAACTAATTTTTATTGTCTTAAAAGTCTCATGAACTGATTCATCAACTTAAGCGACTAAGTGTAACAATAACCTCACTCTAAATGGCTTTTCAAGGTTTATATTCACCACAAACAACAAGTAAAATAGAAGAAAGGAAAGGATGAACCTGAAGAAACAAATCTGAATAACAAAAGATTTCAGCAATTGCACCAACAGAGAAACTAGAAACCACAGCTTCGATCAAAATGAACTTGACGACGAAACTCGAATTCGAGCAGCTCAGACAACTTCCATGATTTTAACTCCCAGAAATGAAATTAAAATGACGGGACCGATTTTTCTTTTTTGACTGTCACTTAAACCAACCTAAAATCTTACGTAGCAATTAATCAAAATGAAACAGAATCACTTTTCTTTTTTGCATTTTTCTGGACTGAAAAGAGAAGAACCTCAAAGAAGATTAGAAAAAAAACATAAATATTTATCAAACTTTCTCCAAAAATCCGGAAAAAAAATCCCCTTACACCAGGAAGAATCCTCACCTTATATCGACCCGCCTATGTTCTCGAATCTTCCACCTTTATCTCCAAGAAATCTCTCCCCAAAAACAAAAATTCTCTCCCCAAAACAGATTTTTACCCTGTTTCTGATGAAAGAGGGACAAATGGAAGGATTAGATTAACTCGAATCCAATCTAACGCCCCCTATTTTTCCATATATCATCCAAAAGGTGAAAATCCGAAACAAAATCGAAAAGAGCATGTGAGGGGAGGGAATCTGTCAGAAACGGTAAGAAATATGGTGATGATGAGAGAGGGGGAACGCGTGAGGTGAGATTGGAGCTCACTCGCCCGAATTTTGGCAATTTTGGGATTGGATTCAGGTGTTCTTTGGAGAAGAAGAACAGTACGCGTATCTCATGGGTTTGGGACTTATGGCTCGTCCGTTCGTTTTTTGTGTTTAATTGGGAATGGGTCGGGTTTAGGCATGGAATTGGGCGGGTTTGAGGGGGGCTTGGGTACTTAACAATTGGGCCTGCGGTTCTTAATTGGATTTGGCCCAACAGATTTTTAAGAACAAATTCCCTTTCCCTTTTCTTTTGTTCTACTATTCCTCTTTTTTCTTTTCTATAATTAATTGAAATCCCAAATTTAAATTGATCTAATCTTTAAAATTAGGCTAATCATCTACTATGATATTTACAAAAAATTAATTACTCCTAAATTAAAAGAGGAAATTACTAATTTAAAGCTAAAAGGCTAAAAATGCAAAAGTAAGCCAATTTTTGTAAATTTTTTCCATTTTTATAAAACAACTAATTTGCTAGTTAATCCTAAAATGTAGAATTAAATCCTAAATGCAAATGCCACGTATTTTTGTATTTTTCATTAGTTAAACAAAATTAACATGCACAGACAAATGCAAACAATTAACGAAAATGCCACAAAAATCTACAAAATTGCAAACAACGGAAAAAATTATTTTGTTTTGAATTTGTGGGAGTAATTCATATAGGGCAAAAACTACGTGCTCACAATTTTTAATAGAGATTTCTTATAAAAATGATTTATGTCTGGCAAATGGGAGGGATGATACTTTACTTCAAGAGGGAGAAACCCCTACGCGATATATGGGCATCATCTGGTGGCTCCTCCATCCAGCCAAAAGCCACTTACCGGAAACGAGAAAAAATTGTTTGAGGAAAAATCTGTAAGTTGGAAGAGCATTTGGATTTTTGCAAATAAAAAAGAAAAGAGAAGTATTTGATCGATGGTTTAATACCGAATCAATATTTGTCAATATTTGAGGGACTAAAATTATGAATTTCTCTTTAACTTATTCTCTCAAAAGGAGTAAACGAGAACACTTGCTCATAGTAAAAGTGGGTGCAGTAATTGCGTTTGAAAGTAGAGCACTATTTCACGAGAATATAGAAGTGCAGATTACAATACTTAGGTGCCACTAAAACTGCACTTTTACGTGTCACGCCATTAATTGGCAATTTAATCTTCGCCTTCAGATCTGTTAGACTTAGGATGATAGTTTTTCTTGGATACCCTAAGCTTCAAGGGTAAATTTAATATTGTGGTCTATATAGAAGAAATGAACTGCAATATTAAAAAATCAAATTAGAAACTCAGTCAAATTTTCAGGTGGATTAATATCTTTCCACAGATAAAAGAAAAAAAGACAATTCGATTGAATATTTATTTTTATATTCTTTGCTGTTTGAAAACGAAGAACGGTCACAATGGGGATGGAATTAGACTGTGTTTATGGATTGAATGAGTTTCAAGCTATGTTGCATCTCGTCACGCCCTGATCCAACAAGCAATGAAAGTCCAAGGATTTTAAGAATGCATTTGCATAAAAAAATTTAGCGGGAAGGAAAACTAATAATAGCACACATTCTACCTCCAACGGCTCAAAATTCCATCAGAATATCATCCATCATTCATTAACAGAAGGTGAAACAATTGGCAGCAATTGGCAGCAATTGGCAGGTATTGGCAGAACCACATGACAAACTATACTAGTAAAAGGTTGGGGAAAATGAAAATAAAAAATAAAAGAGCTGATCCTTACAAAAATTCATTCAGAAGATACTTGCACTTGACCTGGAAGTATTTAAGATCTTGGCTTCTCCTTCTTCTCTTTGAAGAGAGCCAAAAGTGAGACACCAGACACCTTCACAACCTTGAACCTAACACCAGGAATATCTCCCACAGCATGTCCCTTACGACCAAATCCAGCAATCAACACCTCGTCCTACAAACAATAAGATGAGATTTATTCAACATTAGAGAAAAACATAAGACAAAAAGGAAAAAGGACAAATTGCAACGATGGACACATAATGATATGATCGAAACACGTACATTCTCTTCAATGTAGTTCAAACAACCATCGTTGGGTACAAAAGCAGCTATTTTCTTCCCATTCTTAATCAGCTGAACTCGAGCACACTTTCTAATGGCAGAGTTGGGCTGCTTAGCTTCAATACCGCTGCAATTCGTTCAGTGAAAGTTAGGTCTGTCAAAACAAGTGCACAAATTTTTGTCTAAATGAATAATAAATGGCTAGCAAATTTGGCCATACATTTTCTCCAGGACAATCCCCTTTGCATGAGATGACCCTGCAAATGGCTTCTTCCATTCATTGCCAAGATGAGATTTCTTATAAGATTTATCAGCCCACCGCTGCCTCCTACGGTGGGACTTCAGCTTACGACCAGCTCCCATTCCACGTGTCTTCCTGTATTAGAATGATTACAACACAAGCTTCTAAATTACCAAAAAAGGAAATTTCCCAATATTTGGCCAATCAATGGAGAGAAAGCACATGTATATACAGAGAGCAAAATAGAGAAGTTGACCAGCAGATCACAAGGGATTAAATAGTTAAACTACTCAGCAAACAGCATTTGAACTCAAAACCAGAGAAAATGGTGTGCAAATCATATACTCTAAAACCAGTAATATACATGAGAAATTTTGCAAACTACTTACACGACACTTATTACCACTTAGAAAACAAAATCAACAATACATGTAACCCAAAATAACTTCGGAAACAGTGAAGGAGATCAATTACAACAGGACATTTGAAAAGATATTTCAAAATGGGGAGCCATGTGCAAAGACGGAACTAATGCATGGGGTGAAAAGGATTTTACTAGACAATTTCACCTCAAAAACTAAAATGGCTTTGCAAACCCAACTCCGTTCATGCTAGAAATGCAAGCATCATCTGAAAACATTACTAATGTTTCTACTAATCCCAGCTTCAGCTCAGCCATTACAAAGATTCCATAGTAGATCAATACTGATTCTGTTAAAACTATAAGGGATACTACTTAGTAGCTTATTTATCTCTTTCACCTTCCTCAAAATGGTGTCTAGAAAGTGAAAAGTAATAGGATAGATGTTTCATCTCCACTGATATGCAACTCCATGGAGCTACAAGAGCCCAGAACAGTTTAGAGAGACAGTTGTTGTATGTCCATTAGCATTCAAAGCAATTCACTGCCCTGTAAAGGGCTCAACTGCTTTGCCAAGATGGACCAAAGAAACACTCATATATATCCTTAAAATAGAAACTCCATCAATCAACATACCAAAAGAAACATTGTGATAGTATTGAATCCACTAGTCTTTCCAGCACAATAGAAATACTGTTTCACAAGCATCACCTTAAACAAAAAGAAAGTTTCTTAAATGAGGCTTTCCAAAAACAGCATTGAGTCAGAAAACATATGTAGACAGCTGCTCTAGATCCTAACTACTGATTCCAAACACCTCCTGCGTCCTACCTTTACTCTTTTTGGTTTAGGTAGATGTTTCATCTCTACTGATCTATAACCCCATGAAAATTGAGGAGCCAAGAACAGTTTAGAGTGACATTTTGTCTAAGTCCATTAGCATTCAAAGCAATTCATTGCCCTCGAGAGGGCTAAACTACTTTGCCAAGATGGACTGCAAAACTAAGCGTTCATATAGAACCGTCAAGTAACAAGTTTTAAAATATTCCCCGTTGATTTAACTTTGCACAATGACCCAGAAAAACTAGCTAGAAACAGAGTTATCACAATGTGCATTCCATTCAACACTATAATAAGTACACAAATTGTTATATTTCTTTCTTTTTCCTGCAGAAAGGGGTGGGGGGTGTTCATTAGCAAGATGTTTCATCTCTACTGATCTATAACCCCATGAAGATGGAGGAGCCAAGAACAGTTTAGAGTGACATTTGATATAAGTCCATTAGCATTCAAAACAATCCATTGCCTTCAATAGGGCTCAACTGCTTTGCCAAGATGGACTGCAGAATTATGCATCCCCACAAAACCGCCAGCTAAACAAGCTCATAATTTGTTGTCCCCATAAATCTAACTTTCTCAACAAAGCAGAACCAGCTAATATTAAAAAGTTACATTACCAAACTAGTCATTTTTCCACGTGCTTGTTTCTATTATTTTCAGTGAAGTTCCTTAATACCAATATAGCCATAAATGATCTCATTATGTTTTGTTTCAATACCCATAACTTTTCAAATGCATTTCTATAGACTGATATGGATTCTATTAGCATCTCCAATACATTAAAAGCATTATAACATACCTAGATGAATGGTTTACAAATAAAGTGAAGAAACAAGCAAAGAGACACGATGAATAAGAGAAGAGGAATAGATTACCCCATGATGATAGAGCGAAATTGCCTTTGCTGCTGCAACTGGGAGGATTGAGGGTGGGGCTGAGGAGCTGCGAAGCTGAGACTACTGAAGCGAGCGAAACCCTAAATCTCTAACGAGTTTTAAAGGCCGCTTTCGGGTTTTATCTGCTATTTTTCTGGGCCCACTACGGGAAATTTCTTGTAAAATAGCACGCTATAACAAGTTTTCGGACTGGTCATTCAAAAATAGCCAGTATTTACGAAGTCAATGAAAAATAGCCACTATTTTGCTGCAACAGAGATCGGTCCAGCATAATATACTAGAGTTCGATGCACCTGTATATGAACTCCAGCATATTATGCTGGATCGGTATACCTTGCTGACTCTAGTATAATATACTGGAGACTGGAGCACCGATGCTCCAAACTCCAGTATATTATACTGGACAATTATACTTGCTGGAATTCCAGTATATTATGTTGGAGTTCTAGTGTACTTATGCTGGAACTCCTGCATATTATGCTGGAGTTCCAACATACTTATCCTGGAACTCCAGTATAATATGCTGGAGTTCAAGCATACTTATGCTGGAACTCCAGTATAATATACTGGCGTATTTTTCGGGTTTTGAACAGTGTTTTCGCTCAGATTTATCTTTACATGAAAAATGGCTAAATTTCGATTACTTTTGAAACTGGACTATTTTTGAACGACCAGTTGTATTTTCCGTCAATCACCCTAATGAGTTTGGGCTAAAGCCCATCATCAACACGATCCAAATAAAAGAAATTTGGGAGAAATTCAAAAATAGTCAGATTTACAAGTGAGCATTCAAAAATAGTCACGCTTTCAAGAGTAATTGAAATTTAGTCATTTTTCATGTAAAGATAAATCTGAGCAAAAACACTGTTCAAACTCCAGAAAATAAGCCAGTATATTATGCTGGAGTTCCAGCATAAGTATACTTGAACTCCAACATATTATACTGGAGTTCCAGGATAAGTATACTGGAACTCCAGCGTAAGTACACTAGAACTCCAGCATAATATATTGGAGTTCCAGCAAAGTTTATCGGCCCAGTATAATATGCTGGAAGTTCATACACAAGTGCTTGAATCTCCAGTATATTATGCTGGAACTTTCCGTGTGTTGGAGTTCCAGCATAATATGCTGGAAGTTCATACACAGGTGCACCGAACTCCAGTATATTATGCTGGACCGTTCTCCGTTGCTACAAAATAGTGGTTATTTTTCAATGACTTGACAAACGCTGACTATTTTTGAATGACTAGTCCGAAAACTGGTCAGCCCGTGCTATTTTTAATATAATTATAGGTTAGATAGATAGAGTATGAGCAAATGCCAGTGACTTACTTTATAAAATTTAAACCTATTTTAATTATATTTCTTTAACAGTTTTGGAAATGTCTCCTTCTATAAAAGTTTCTTTCAAAAATTGAAATTGTTGATTCTTTTTTCAAACTGGTCTTGCGAACGTTTCGTTTAGTTTTGGTTTCCACCAAAGCTTTTCTTCAGTTAATAATTTGTTTTTGTTTAAAATTATTTTATCAATCAAATAGATTATTACTTTTTTAAAATCTTTTTTTAATGTATAATAAATCTGAGTCAAACACCACCCGACTTTTGTTGGATAACGATAAGAATAAAAGTAAAGAAATTTAAAGATGCGGACGAATTATCAGCCAACATTCACAAATTTAAAGATTCAACCTTTCAATTGTCAGTAACTATCTTTTGGCTATGTTAAAGAGCCAAATCTAATCTATAAAATATGATTAAAAGAGACAAAATTACTTGTACAAAGATTCGCATAAAGATATTTTATGTTGCAATGTCATAAATATAATGAAACTATTTATATAGAGGCAACATATGTGTTTCATACGTGTGATTGTGATGGGTTTTGAATATGAGATTCTACTATCGTTCTGTGTAATTTTTCAGGTAGAATTAGTATATAATCATAACGGTAAAAACTTACTCGCATTGGGCGTTTACACCAAACCAATAGATACATGACATGTGTCTTGCATATGGACTTCAATCATTTAACCATGGTAAATTATATACATTCTCATCTAATTAAATTAATTAACCATAGTAAGTAAATATAGTTTGGTGTAAACACCCGGTGTGGTTAAGTATTTACCGTATTAGAACATTACATTCGATTATTTAAAAGAATTCTATTATTAGTTAGTATCGGATTACTAAATATTAGGCACATTATTATTAAATTACTATTTTATCTCTTTTTAACAAAATATTTAAGGGTATAAAAGTCTATTATTTTAAAGATATTTTAGTCGTTCAACATTTAGCGTGAAATATTCGTGCTTTTATAATATATAGATTAGTCTTAGGGTACGCGCTTTGCGCGTGAATTCATATCGACAGATAAATTATTTTAAACAATAGTATAAATATTAGTATTAAGTAATGTGTTTGAGTTATAAAATAAAAATTATTAGAAAAAGTATAAGTTATGAGAACTTCTTGCAAGAATATCGTACAAAAAATTATTGTTATTTCTATAACCTAATACTAAACCCAAACAAATAACACGAAAATACTTTTATCGTGATTCTTTAAAGATTTGTCAAAGAAGATAAATGAAGTTCTTTTTGTGGTCTTTTAGAGATTTTATTTTTTATTTTTTGATAAAAGTCTTTTAGAGATTTGAGAATGAAGTGGTTGATCCTATATAGCTCATAGAAAAAAAATTGATTAGTATGACGTAAACTCGAAAAATAACTAATGTTAAGTTAATATTTTATAATAGTAACTTAATATATAAAAAATATAAGAAGATGTAATTTGTTGGGGAAAAAAGTTTAATTAATGACAACACATTTAATTTAGAATGTATTTTATTTTTGTTATTTCATCCTTATTACTTCAAGTTTTAATTTTAATAATTTGACTCTTAATAGTATACTATAGGCAATTTCTTTCACTGTAGTGGTCTCCTTATGAAAATAAATTTAAATAATAATTGTCAACTTGAAAAATAATTTTACTTGTATGGTAAATTTTATTAATTAATTAATTAATTTTTCAATAATTAGTTAATTCAAAGAGTAATATTTTCTCTCAATTTTCATAAAACAGCTAATAATTTTTTAATGCAATTTTTTAATATTAGCTCATTCTTAGTTTTAAATATCTAACCGCTATTATAATTTTATCAAAAAATAATTCTACTTTCAAAAGGTAAAAAAGTTAGTCTTACATTTCATTTTTAAATTTTTGTATTTAAAGAATCAATAGTGATGTTGACTTCTGTCAACTACCCCTCTCTCTCTATCTCTCTTTTCTTATATTTTTTTTTTTTTAGTTATTTATTTTAATTATTGAAGGTAGTTTTCAGTTATTTTGCAAAAGATAATAATTATATTTAATAGTAGTACTTATTAGAATGTAATTTTTTTTAATACAAAAATATTTTAGCAATAATGTTTGATTGAAGAATAATTTGATCGTTCAAATTTTCATGGACATTCAGATTTATCAACTGATTATTTAAATTTTCTCACTTTTATAATAGTATAATAAATAATGGATAAATTTCTTATTTTATCTCTTTAAATAGTTTTTTCCACCATCTTCTCGAAATAGATTGATTAGAATTCCTCTCATTATTCTCTCCTATGTGACAACGCCTTCAATTATTTATGCTGATGAATTAGTGCTTTTTCTGTTTATGAGAAGATAGAATTCGTGTTGGTGGCTAGATTCAATTGGTCAAATGGAAATTGTTCATAAAATTGATTGTTAACAAATTTATCAAATATAAAATTATTTATTTAATGAAATATTTTAGTTATTAAGGATATAAAAAGAAAAGAAAAAAGGAGAGCATGCTTAGGGACAACTAACATATTGTCGAACATGTTAAGGAGAACAAATGTTGGGAAACTTTAGTTAAATTTAATGTTAAGATTTTCTACACAGTTCAATAAGGAAAGATTTAATAATTAAAGTTTAACTAATTTCAAACTCTTAAATATTAGGAAAATAATTTAAATGACAATTTGTCTAGTGTAAAATCTATTTTTAAGGGGTTAAAAAGACTAACGACATTTCACTGAGGGCCTTCGTGCTTTTAATATATTATAGATTTTTTATATAAAAAAAAACTTTGGTCTCACACACTTATTGCTTGTTAGGGATTTCTCTATTGGATTGGTAGATTTATACTATATTTACTCTACTGATATTATTAATTGTTCACAAACTCTACTTGGTTTGCATGATTTTATGATTGTTGACCACCAAACTCTACCATATTGGCTTAACTTTGTATTATATGCATTTAAACCAATTATTAGATTCTTCATCAACCAGTTGGCATGACTTTGTGTTTGTTTAATTATTTACTAAACTATACCAAATTGGCATGACTTTGTGTTATATGCAATTGATTTATTTGTTATATTGTTTAATTAAGTTTAGGGATCTGTACACAAATAGCCGTCCATATTTATTACTTTTTCTAGCCATATATATAGTTTATATATTGATTATGCATAATTATACACATATTTGGGTTAATTCTGATTGACATAATTTTGTTGTATATTTCAACAATGTATCCTTCGAAATTGCAATTCCAATTCGTCAAAATCACATCAAATCTGCTTCAAATGATCTCAACTTTGAAACAAAACTTTCAAATATTACAATTGATCCTCGATCGCCAATTTTGTCAATAACACCAAATAAAAAAATCACTTTGCTTTTTCAACACTTTCTAAGGACAACAATAAAATTTAATTTTTAAAGTAAATCACTAAATCATTGTTTGAACTACGAGTTTAAGCATAATTTTCCAGCATTCAAATGATTATTAACAGTAATCAATCATTAATTTCCAATTTTCACCCTCAAACAAAAATTTCAAGCTTTCAATATTGAGTAACTATATTGTTCTTCGTGAAGGAAAAGTCTATTTTATAATAAAGTAAAATATGGGGACAATATTTAAGGAAAAATTACGTCCGTTGTCACTTGACCCAACAGCCTAACTGAAAATGGCTTAGGTTTGAAGCCCTTATCCTGTTTGGCCTAGGTTGTATATAACCTAAAAGAATTTTTTCATCATTTAAACCAACATTAAAGACTCAGT